GAAAGAGTGGTATAAGAGTGAGAGGGCAGCTCTGTGTCCCAAGCAGCCCCGTGGGAAACATTTCTGCAGGAATCCTGGTGGGAGGCAACAGTGTGGACAGGTGTGGCTCATTGACTGCAACGACACACAAGACGTTGGTCGTGTAGAACATGGGCCCCTCAGTACACACTTTGAGGGGCGACTAGAGCCCACGGCCCAGAAGAGAGGCAATGCCTAAATCACAACAGGACACAAACTTTGAAAATGTGTCTGCTAGGATACTTTTGTTTGCTTTTTGTGTGTAAAAAGATGGGTCCCTGATTAAGTGTAACAGTTCACCTAAAACTGAATTGTAAAAGGAGAACGTATAATATCATGCAGTGAAGTGGGTGGTCTGTGCATCTGCGAAATGGGTTAACAACAGAACCTAGGGTTGATGTGAAGTTTAAAGAAGATGAATGGAAGATTCTTAGCATTGCACCTGACACACAGTACACAGTAAATGTTAGCCATATTAGTATTAATAAAGTTTCTGCTTCTAGAAAGTCCTTAAGTAAGTTACTCACTAAGTTGACAACCCTTATACAGATGGTCAAGACAAATTTCATTTGAGCCATGTTCATCCCTCGTAGAACAAACGGTACTCGCAACGTCAGATACAGAATCTACAAAACAAAAGAGGATGCATGTATGCTGATCCTAATATTTAAACCAAAAATCAAGATATCTGGTCTTACAGTGGGGAAGAATATCTGAAATGGGGGCCACGTTCAAGAAAATTCTTATGATTCATGTACTGCTGCTAACGAGGGCCTAGACATGAAAGCAAATATGAACATCTGGGTCACCTGAGAGTTATGTTTATTTCTTAAATCCTGTTCTCAATAAATGTAGCACGTATTCTATACAGTTCTAGGGTTGGTCCTTCCAGCTTCATATGTCAATCTCCTCATCAGAAGTTCTCCTTAAACAAAACCCCTTTGCCTTTAATACTATTAAGGGACATGCAAAGAGAAACCACTAGCCCTAGCTGCTCTGCTGCAGACATGAGACATGGGGCCCCTCTCTGTCCCTCAGTGACTCACACAGAGCCCAGCCTGAGCCCTTGTTGTAATCTCGCTGGCAGGGGGAACAGAGATTTGAGCAGAGTTCCAACCATGGGTCCCCTAGGCTGCAGCTCTGTTGCTTAAGGAAGGTGTAAAATGAGGGACCCTGGGCAGAGTGAGTGCTGCTTTGTGTTGGGGCAGTGGTCTCCCCATGTGTGGGCAGGACCTGGCTTGTCAGCCTCTGACTTTCAGAGCGTAACACGTCTTTCTCCCCACTGACTGCCGACGTGAAGCCAAAACTAGTGGCACCAGTTTTACCTACATCGGTAGTTTCATCTATCACTTTACTAGAGCCATTTGGTGGCACTGTGGACAGACTAGCCCAGAATGTCTTCTCTGTGTGTTTACCATTAACAAAGGCCATGGCCCCATCGTCGGCAGCTGTCATTTGGCCAGCGGCCTGCAGATGGCTGCGAGTCACTCCGGTGTCCTGACCCCTAGGTAACGATTTTTCTCTCTGCTTACTGGCTGTGGTTTTGTAATTTAACAATCTCACGGAAGTGGCATTTGTGGCCATGCCATCAACGTTATTATTAAAACGCGGGAAATGCTGGCTGTCTTGATTCCCACGTCTGCCCTCCGTTTTCACACAGTCCGAGGAAAGGATGGCCGTGCCCTTTCTGTTGGTGATGGTTTCAGGTGTTTGTGGAGAACCAAGAGGCGAGAAGGAGACAGGCTGACTGGAAGAAAACAAACTCTCTCTACCAGTGTCTTGGTCATTCTGCCAGGATGCGGGGCCCTTCCACTTGGGAGCTGATGTCGAATCAGAAGTGAAGTAAGTATTGCTGTGAGTACCATAGAAGAGATCCTCTGGACCGCCATTCTCTGCAAACCTCTGGCTTGCTCCCCCTTGACTGGTTCCTCCGAGATTGGACGCCGCAGATGAGCCTGAGGAAGGCGGAGGGCACTCCTGACTTCCCAAATGCGTGAACTTGTGGGCAAGATCCTTGACAGGCCCATCATCTGGGGGAGACCTGCGGCCGGTGGGATCTGGACTGGGGGGGCAAGACCTCTGGGCAGAAGCTGCAGCAGATGGAAGAGAGTCCCCGCTGCCCCGGTCTCTGCTCTTGCTTCTGCCTCTGTACGCCGCGTCTCTGCGATGTGAAGGAGGAGCTGGGAAAGAAAAACCAAACAACGGAAGTTGGTGTTAACGTGACTAACTTCCCTGCCCTGTTGCACCTCAGCTTTCCCAGGTTTGCTATCGAAGTTCCATCAAATTACTTTTGTGTGAAAATCTCGAGAAGGTGCTTATGACAATGCAGGAATCTGTCACCCTGCCAGCCCTGCAGAAAACGCCACCTATGACCTAGGATAAAGGTCGAACTGACACTGGCTCTGCTTGGCTTCTCTCGTGGGACTTAGAGGTAGCCCCCAAATGCCCACACTCTTAGGTGGGGCTGTCCGCAATTCTCTAGTTCAAGTCACTCACCACTAGGGTAAATGGAGAGACAGACGAGTGCAAATCAGGGAGGAGTTCCCCGAAATCATTTAGAGTTTGCCCATATTGTGATACAGTTGTACCTAAGTTACGGATTCACGATACTTAAAACAACAACAACAAAAGAAACTACAATAAAGGTCTGATTTCACTGAAGCTTGAGAAATTTCCAGAGTTGTTCGTCCAGCCCCCCAAATGCCCAAGCTTAAATGAGCAATAACCAAAAAAGAAAAATTGGCCTCTCTCTAGGAACGTGGTAAGTCACACCCCCGGGAAGCAGAGAGGAGGGAGGGAGTGAGCATGTGTGTTCGTGAGTACGTACAAAGTGCGGTGTGCATGTGTGTGATGTTTATATGTGGGGTGTGCTGTGCTGGGTGTGTGTGCATGCAAGAGGTGTGTGCATGTATGTGTGTGTGTGATACACATGTGTGGTATACATGTGGCGGGTGTATGTGTATGTGTGGTTGTACGCATGGTGTGTGACGTGTGTCGGTTGGTGAGATATGCATGTATGGTGTATGCGGCATGCACAAGCAAAGTCTGTGTGGTGTGATTGCATGTGTGTTTGTGTGGCATGTGTGAAGTGTGTCCTGTGCATGTGTTGCACATGTTGTGCGTGCATGAAGTTTGTATATGTGTGGGGTATGTATGTATGCAAGTGGTTGTTTTTGTGTGAATGTGGCTGGAGGCTGTGTGTGTGTGTGAGTGTGTGTATGTGTGTGGTGTGTGAGTTGTGCTATTGTGTGTGGGAAAGAGAAGGAAGAGAAGTCCTTTCTCTTCCAAACCCAGGGGGCAG